TCCAGACTTTCATAGGCAGTGCATCTTGAAACAGATCAAATGAAGGTTATATCAGTAGAGTATGTTGTTTGAGCAGGCACTTATTGATCATGTGAAATAAAATAGTTGCCCAAGTCTTGAGTGGAAATGGAAACCTCAAGCAGAAGAATATGCAATGTGGGGCTGTGGGGCTGCTAGTTTTAGTCTGTTATTAGTTATTACTTCAGATTTGTGTAATGGAATGAGTTCCCCTCACACCTAATGGACAAGTATCCTAAAACTGTAAATTTGCATCTTATTTAGTTCCAAATGATACTCCTTTTGGTGTTCTCAGACTTAGATTTGGTACTAGAAGATTCAGTGTTCTGTTAATTTGCCCTCCATCTTTAAAGGAGATTGTAAGAAACACAATGATTGTTTATATTATGTGTATAGGATGTCAATCTCTAGAGACAGTAGTCAAGAAAATCCTTTTATAGAAAAAAAATCAATAAACTAATTTGTTAGATTTTAATCAATCATTATTCACAAAACTGAAGCCTTGACAAAGACAAGACAGAATTTTTGTATATGTTACTGTAGTGCATGATAAAGTAAGTAATGGGCTCTAAATTAACTTTTTCACATCAGGAGTGTCCTATAGCCAGAGTCTGTAGCTCAGTCCGCTTTCTATCCTGTCTAGACATCTGCTTCTTCCACTGTGGGATTATTTCACACTTGCAGTGGCATCCATTTAGAATTAAAGGCAGTTATGGTTCATTAATTTCAAGCTGTTGTTATGATCATACCTACACAATACATCTTTGAAGTAGTTTGATTAAATGTGTGTATGAAGGATGGGATGAGTTATTGCAGATTTACAGTTTTAGACATGCTGAAGGAAAACCAGCACTTTGTTGTGTTCCAGTAAGGCTAAAAAGTGTTATAAATGGATATTTATTATCATAGCATTATGGTGATAGCCAGCAGTAAATGCATGTGAACATTTTAACAAAATGTTCCATTTTTCTTAACAAAATCAATACAACCCCAAAGAACTGTCTTTTGGTTTTGGATACAGCAAATTCTGTTCAACATTATCATCACAATGCAAATGAGTTTGGAGCTCCTTGACCACGCTGGTATGGTAAGAGAGACCTGTCAAAACCCAGTGATACCTTAGGAGCTCTGAAGTGGATGGTGGATCCACACTATTTTCTCTTCCCCATTACTAACCACTTCTTCAGGGCTGAAGGTCTACAGTAGATGTATTTGACAGTTGTTTAAAATATACAGACCCCCCAAAGTTGCACTTATAAAATAAAGTAAAAAGATTTTGAAGTCAGTAAAAAGATTTTGAAGCCAGAAACTAAAATTCCCTTCTGCTTTTCATTCTACCTTAGTCTCTGAAATTTCTTTTTAAAGCAAGTAGCTTAAATTTCGGGGCATGGTATTTAGTCAACCCAAAATATTTTGCCACAACTCCCTTAATTTACAAGCTCTTGTGGTTGAACTCAGAGTCTCTGTGTTTCATTTATACATTTTTTGGTGGCTTAATATGTTTTCTTCTCTTCCTGATATATTTGAGGCATCTCTGTGCTGAGCTTTCTCATTTGAAAGAGGCTGACAGCATATGAAGGCAGGGAAGTATCCTTTGATGAGAAAATGCAAATCCCAAACAAAACATTTGCAGAACCACTAAAAACCATTTCCATACAATTAAGCAATTATATGGTATTTATTATAGAATGATTCAAAGGTAAGGCAGACTCCTTATAAGCCATCCAACAAATAACTTCATATGCACCCCCTCCATTTCTTTCTACAGAGGGTAATTTTTACTTATTACAATTAGTGTCAGGACTCCCTCAGTATTTGGTGGAACTGAAGCTTGATCTCTTGGTCTCAGGAATGACTTTTGAGTGGTTTAAGGAGTTTCATAGTATAGCAGGAAACTACTTTGGCAAATACAGTCAAAAGAAGTTTCTAAATTTGGAAGAAGATGTGGTGCTCTGAATCTGATATTCAGAGATGCTGGGTAAACCCAGCTGTCATCAGTTTTCATGGTTGCAAATTCAGCATTTTGAAATGAGGGAACTGGCAATGCAAAAGTAAACAAAATCTTGGAGAGTTTGGAAAGTATTAATCTTATTTTAAATTTTACTTCTTTGACTTACTGTTACAGTTATGGCTACATCATGAATTAATTTTCACAATACCATTTGATAAAGAAAATATATAGATCTGTGAGCTGAGCTTGGTTTTTCTTTTTTTTTTTTTTTTTTTTTGTATTTTTACATGATTTCCTTAATTAGTTCAACTTATATTTTAAAATAATTTAATTTAGCAGAAGCTATTTTAATTCCAATTGAACCTTAATTTAAAGCTGGTGATATTGTAATTACGTTTAATTATAATGAGTATGGTTTTTAAACAGCCCTAGTTAGGTTTGGATTTATAAAAAAACACATCAGTTTATGTTGCATTTAAAGTCCGATATTCTACTATGTTAAATCTTTTTTATTTCTACTAGTAGAGCTTGGCTAAGAAAATGAATTCAAACCAAAGTTCAGATATGGCATTTTTCTGTGTCTAGTAGAAACACAGATCCTATAACATCCAGATATTCAAGAGTGAATGCCTTAGGCACACTTCTATTTCTGATTTGGATTCACAAAGGTTGAAGAAAATATTTAACCAAAATATTATTTAACTTCTTCGCATTATAAAAATCAGATAAGGAAGTTAAGATGGAAAAAGCCGAAGGTCTTCTTTACTGGTGGAAAATAAAGTAGCTTAATTCTAGGGTATATGTGGAGTGCTAGGAGAAGAATTTAGATGTACTGATTCTAGCAGCCTGCAGTGTCTTGTCTCCATTGTCATCAGAAGATTAGATTGCGCTCAAAATTTCTAAGCTAATAATTATTCTTTATTTATTAAGTCAGACAGAGACTGACTCATTTGACTTAACAAAATTTAAGGTGTGATCAATTTCATTGTAGTGTAGATCAGCAAAAGTAGGTCAGATGAATCATCTTTAAATGACTGTTTTTCTTTAACTTGAAAAAAAAACAACCTAAATTAACTAGCTCAGATATAAACAATATAAACATCTACAATCAATGGGATTAAAATCAGATGAAATCTACTCAAAATACTCACAGTTTGGTCCCAGCTGGATAAAATAGGCTGTAGTATGTTTGGTCTGGTTCAGTCTTGGTCTTTACATGTCATGTAGCTGAGACCCTGGTCTGTACTGAAAAGCTAATTGCCGTCCTTAAAAGCTTCAGATTTTGGGGTGTACTTCTGCTAAGTGCATACCTACAGGTGGGCAGTGTGTTTGTAGTTGGGCTCATATGTTGGCATAGACCTACCTAAAGCACCTGGTTCAGTAGAAGAAATGCTGTCCCTCCAGATTTGCTCCTCTTCTGACCACTGCTGGCCAGTGGGTCAACTTCCTCAAAGACATTGCAGCCAGCAACAGCAGGAAGTGTCTGTTAGAGACTCTGACCAAGGAAAGGAATACCTGGGGAATTGAGGTGTCTCCAGGATAGAACATCTCAAGAGAAGGATGTTTGATCTGGGAAGCTTTGGGTTTACTTTTATGCTGTCAGAAAGTAACTCAGGAAAGGTTCATGTCATACTGAAGGGGTGGCAAAAGTGGAACCCAGAAGTTGTCACATCTGTTTGAGAAATGCTGCGTCTGTTGCCATGCCAATTATATAAGGAGATCTTTCTGTAGGTCGAGTAGCTCTACATTATTAATCCCAGAGTGAATGTATCTGAAAAAAGCCAAATACTGAGAACATCGATAAAGTTCAGGTGTACGCATTTCATTAGGAACAGAAAAGGTGTAGGAGTCTCTGAGTGTGCTGAAGATGTTATTTTCTGAGTTTTAGTGTTTTGCTGGTTCATTCCTTTTGATTTTGAATATCCTTTTTATTTCTTCCCTTCAGTTTCAGACCAATTCTTTAACTTAAAATTGTTATCTTGCACTGTCTCAAGGGAAAGAGCTGAAACTGCTCCTACACTTTTCTAGCTTAGTCCTCTCTATAACTTCCTTTTCAGAGTTTAACTCAGAATTTGCCAATAATTGACCATGAGTTCAATTTTTTTAGATCAAACCTCTTTTTGTAGTCTCTTTTTGCAGTTTCTTAAGCTTACTATTGTTGCCTTGATTATGTATCATGTAAGGAATTGAATTTCTTGAAATTAAGCTGATTCTTGATTTCATCAATAGTAAATCTCCATCATGTTAAATCTATTTTTAAACTCAATCTGACCAGTAGTTATCTTTAACAAGAGATTAAATGTATACCATACCTTAGGTAGTGAATGTGTTTTAATTTGCTTCCAAAGTTGCTATGAAGTTCCTTCAGGTTGCTGTAATTAACCTCTAGCCATTTCTTATGTCTTCTGTAGCTTTGTACCAAAAAAATGCAGTTGGATCCCCTGCGGTTCTCCTCCAGCATCTGCTGCTCTTGTGTGTTTCTGCTTGGCTCCACAGCTCGGATCCATGTAGCCTTCCTGCCATCAAACACAGTGCTGTTCCAATAGAGCATCCTTTAATTCTCTGGTTCTTCCTGTTAATCTTCAGGTTTGTAGGTGTGGGAGAGGAATGATTAATTATTTATATTGGCAATATATCATATCTCTCTCCTACTTTAATTTGGGATATAACTGATGCAGTATTTTAAAAGAGGATGAAGATAAAAGCTTCCATTACCTAATTGGGTTATGCATATTTTGAAATTGTCTACAAGGAAGCAATGGTTTTCTAAGGGCTATAATTCAGTGAATGAAAGAGTCATTTCATGACAAATGCTATTACACTTCAAAGGTAGAGGGAAAAGGTGAAAGTGAAGCCACTGATTGTGCCAAAAAATTGAAAGTCACCCTACCAGTGCTCTTTACTTTCAGAGTAAAACTGACAAATCTGAAATATCTAGTTCAAATGTTTGCCATTGACTAGCAGGCATTTGTTTCTAAAGCTGGTAGAAGAAGTTTTCATTCTTTCTGCCTTGTCAGTGATTGATTTTTTTTCTGGTTTTCTTTCAGAGTACTTGCATGATTTTTTAAAAAAACCAAGCACATCAAATGTCACAACATTAGGATAATCATTAAAATGTCAATCATTCAGTGCATTTGCAATATGCCAGAGCTTACTAGAGAACATATTTTTTTATCTGATTAATGTGAGTCTCTGGAACATGCCTTTGAATGGGCATCTCTTTAAGAGGTGATTAGTGGTTATTAAAGATTATTCCTATTAGGGAAAGAACAGTTTTTCCCTAAAGTGGAATAAAATTGGTCCTTAAAAGCAGTAGATCCTAAAGGAAAAGACAGATGTAAAAGGACATCTAAGAAAATGAAATGTTACTGATGGAATCATAGAAGTATTTGGGTGGGAAGGGACCTTAAAAAATATCTAGTTCCACCCTCCATACCATGGGCAAGGACATATTCCACCAGGTTGTTCAAAGCCCCACCCAACCTGGCCTGATGCTGTGTTGTGTCCTGCGCAGATTTTTGTGTCTTGCTGGCCATATTGATCTCCAGCTGCAAGAACCTGGAAAGCTGGACCACAAATTTTGGTGCCTGTCATAATCTGGATACTACCATCTGTGTCATGGATAGTACTGTTTTTTAAATATAAGTAGTTGATCAATACTGTATATTTAAGATGACTAGATAAGCTAAAAAATATCTGGTACATACTAATAAATGTACTTTTTTGATTGCATCTTGTGCAGAATCTAAATTTTGTTCCACTGCTTATACTAATTGCAATAGCATAAATTTGGTCAGTAATTTAATGGAAGGATTTGGGACTGCAAATCGCAATTGTAAGGATGAAAAGTTGGGAAATGGGAATTTCAGATACCCTTTGTAAAGTAACTATTACACATTCATGTGCAGAGTCCCTTCATCTTTCTTGGCTGTTTCAGAGGGAAATAGCCACAAAATACAATTAAATATGTTAAACTTTGGACATAGAAACCCAGTGTATTGTCAGTGCAGTAATTTGCTTCCTAACAGCCTCTTCTGGATTGTGTCCAGAGCTCTTCACTTGATTTGTGAAAGCTGCCTTCATTAAGCTCCTGACTGCACTTGGTGAGACTGTTATCTAAAAGACTCCTTGGCGTTGTTTTTTCAATGCATGGAAAGCCACAGACACAGTGTGCAGTGTTCTGGTATGATCCGGGAGAGGACAGCAGGCATGCTGTGAGCAGGGGATTTCCTCCTCCTTACAGTGCAGTATAAATAAGTCACACAGTTGGCAAAATGTGCCAAACTGGTAACTTTCTCCCTCCAAATATGTTTATGAAGAGAAAAGGCCTTGTAAACCCCTCCATTTATACTAAGGACAGAGTCAATATAGGTAGCTTTTCATAATGTCTTCTCCCTTCAAGCAATAAAAATTAAGTGTCCCTGCTTGGTTCATTCTTCTGCTCTGTGATACATCTGAAATAATACCAGCTGGTGCTGGTGTGGTGGCATCAGGTTATCCTCCCTGGCTGCAAGAAATGGGTCACTTCAGCAGAAGCTGCCATAGGGCCCTCAGGGGACAGACACCACTGGATAAGAACTGCCAAGCAATGTCTGGATCTGCATCATCTGCTCTTCTGCTCTTCCGACCTGTTCTGTCCTGAAAGAGTACTTTTATACTTATTTTTCCTTTTTTTTTTTTTTTTTTTCTTCCTTTTCCCTACAGATACCTGAATCTCACTTCATGTTTGATGTTCATTGACAGAGGTGATGTGAAGCTGCACATCCCTCTCCAGGAGCAGAAAGGAGATTAGAGTGGATTCAGTCTGCAAACTGTCTGTGAGTGAAGGGGAGAGATGTGCCCATGCCCACATGGACCTGCTACAAGAGGACATTTTGCGCATTCCTTCTACTTCATTTCTCCTCACATCCTTCTCTGGCCTAGGAAATTTGACTTCATCTCCTGTTTGAACAGTGTTTGAACACCTGTATCCTTTCCTAGGCTGCTGGGTGTCACTATATTCCCTGAACTGAAGGGATTCTATGAGAGATGTCAGAGGACATGGATTTGGCAGTGGTAAGCCCTGATAATAAAACCATTACAAATCAGATTTTGTAATCCATTTGCTGGATATCCAGATCCCAGGATGGACTCAAATATGCATGTGACTATTTCAGAAAACATTCCACATAACTGTAGTATAGAAATAACTTCCTTCAAAATCCTGAGCACTGAAATGTTTGCAATTGCCTGTGTAGTATGTACTATTCTGATCATTAAATTCTGCTCTGTGCTAGTTCTCAACATGTAAGAACAAGTTATGCCTTTACTTTGGGGATGTGATGAGCTAGCAGCAGAGAAGCAGTGCTTCTCTGCAGAGAAGCAAGACCAGTGGAAATAGTCAGGATTTGGGTATTGAAAAGCAGAAATTAATGTGTATGTATGTAAAAAACATAGGCAGCTTTCTAAATTGTTTTCAGGTGTCTTCTTTAATCCATCTGTAAAGATGAAAACAATGTCAGATTTTTCCAAAGTCTCTTTTTAAAATGAGTTTTGAAGGCAGTTTCTAGGTAATGTACATTTTCCATTCAGCAACTCATCTGATGCCATGCAAAGTTCCTATCCTGCTCAAGACAATTTAGGATTTGATGTTGATATCATGAAGACAGTAGAAAAATATTTCAGGTGTACACTTAGACCTAGGATCCATCCCCATCACATGGAACTGTGTACAGCTGAGCAGGAGTTTTAGGACAACTGTCCCTGCTCTGCCAGGAGCATTTTCTGGCCTGATGTGGAGATGCCCAAAGGAATTGCTACCTCTGAAGTTGGTAGAAGGGGTATTAGGGTGTTAAGGGGACAGCCACAGCTCTGCTGTGGAGTTTGAGGCAGGACAGCTCATGAGTCACTCTTCCTCTCTTGTGAATGAGAATTGCAAAGGGAGTGTGTGTTGCACTGCCAGCACAATATTATGAATATGTAGATTTACACTTAAACATCCTCAATCTGCTCCCTGATTTGCTATCCAAAATGGAGTTTTCACATTAATTCTGCAGGTAATTTATATTGCCTTCTTGTTTCTTCCCCTAGGAGACCACTGGATTTCATTCCTTAGCTGACACTGTCAACCTTCAGAAAGCACACATCTTTGCATTATGGCCTCATATAAAGTCGGTAACTTTTGCAAGTCAGGAACGAACAGGAAATGCCTAAACAACATGGGAAGCATGGTAAGGTGTCAAGGAAAGGGAAACAAATGAGTGTGATCCAGAATGTTACATCTCTTTGTGCGTGACTTGACCGAGATACAGATTGAAGGGACAGATCTTTTTACTATTACTCCTCAGAATCAAAGGATAAGAAATAGCTTTCCTGGAGGTCACTTCATCCTGGCTACATTCATATACAGGTGGTTTGTTTCAGTGCACAGGGGCATATCCTGCAGTGTTAAAATCAATGGGAATGTTGCTGCTGAAAATAGGAACAGCATTTTATCTTTGTTTCTGATAACTGATGTCACAAGATCTTGGAAGGGGTTTTACTGCTTTTAAAAACAATCTCAACTTGTGTTTTTACTCCTGGTGCCTAATGCTTCCATTGTAAGTGACATTTCACCAGGATGCTGCACCTTGTGAATCCAGGGAGAAGGTTGTACACCAGAAAGGCATATGAAGACAGCATTTAGTGAGAAACAAGTAATTAAGACATCTGGATAGAGAAGAACACATCAAAAATAATTTAACAAAGCAGGTGTCTGAGAACAAGAAACAGGAACTGGGAAGGTGAGGTTTCAGGTGAACTCATAGAACAGAACGGTCATGGTTATACTGGATCCTCAACTTGTTGCACTCTCAGCTGCTCTTTCCTCCCTGGAGTCTTTCCAGCCCAGATGGTGCAACTCAGGCTGCATGACCTGAGGCAGTGTTGGAGCAGCAGCATGTTGTTAGCTGGCTTAGCAAAAGATCATTTTTTTTTTTCTTTTTCAGCCCATGTGCTGTAAGCTGAAGCCTAACTCTGGACTTCTTCTTTTCCTGTGGTTGAATCTACAGAGAATTGGACTGTAATAATGGCAGCAGATGGTGTATTTTCTTGTCTTTGGATGGTTTGACAGCAGGCCAGTGATAGCAGTTTTCAGAGCAATAAAGATTACCTGTGTGTTATATTTCCCTTTCCCCCCTTACTCTTCTCCCCAAGCTGAATAATATTTTTTTAAACAGTTGGGATTTCTTGCGCAAGTGAACTTGCTAGAGCCTGTGCAAACCTGGGTTCTGGTTGTTCCAGTGAAGCACTGTCAAGTCTATGCAAGGCCACAGTTTTCTAGTTGCTTTTCAAATAACTGATTCCAAGCAGGCTGAATCTGTATCTCTGGGAGATACAGATATCTCTGGGAGGTTGGTATTCCCCATGTAATATTTCTGTGCACCCTCATCTGATAGATCATTCTGAAGACCAACAGGAGCAGCTCTCATTCAATAGGTGATGACTGCAAATTCCTGAAGTGGGAAAAGGTTTTCTGAAAATTTTAGCCAAAACCTGGATTTTTCTCTGTATTTTTTTTTTCATGGTTCTGTTACATTTATATATTGCTCTGAAATATTCTTATCTTCTCTTAAAGTTGTTTTCAATTTAGGTCTTCAGTGGAGGAGCTAGTTTTAGATGTGTAGTTATGCTTTTTTCCCCTCATAAGAGCCTACGAAATAGAAAGCACTTTTCTACAGGATATTGTTTTGGTTTGGATTCCACCTTTTTTCCTTCTTTAGGAGTGTTAAAAAGATGTCACTTAATTTGAACAGTAGCAAACCTCAGCCCCAAACAGAGAAATATGCAGTCTTTCTCAAGACATGTTGAGACATCCCCCTGCAGCTGTAATGGGTTATCAGCACATCTCCACCCTTTCACCAGATGCAACCTTTTAGAGGCAACTTTGTCTTCAGACTTCAGTTGTATATCATCTGATCTCAACTAGTGTCAAAAGACCCAGAAACTCTCTGCCTGTCTGCTGGGAACATTGATCCACTCACCACAACTATTTACAAGATGTGAAGTCTTTCCTTCCCTTGCACTCTTTTTCTCTCTTAAAAAAAGAAAAAAAAAAAAAAGCTGTCAGTATTTCAGAAATTGTGAGTAGCAGATCTTTGTGTTCTTTAATCCATAAATAAACATTTCTTTTTTTGAACTTCATTAAAATTGGATGTGTTTTCACTGTAAAACACTTCAGCATCCCTATCATTTAGTCATATTTGGTGATGAATATTGCAATTAAGTTTTGTCTGTAGGAATAATTGTTGTCTAGAAATACTCAATTTATGCCAAAAAAGTAAATAATAATCAGACCACAAGACATACTGCTTATAACAGTAATTTTAGATGTTAAGCTATGTGCCTGCTGTTTTACCAGGCTGGGCCAAATGCATCTTTGTTTTTATGACCAAACTTGCAGGGAAGTTGTGGAGATGTGAGTTTGGTTTGATTTCTGCACAATTATATCTGACTTTCTTCTGGTAAGACTTGTTGATGTATCGAATTCAAATCTCCAGCTTTGCCTTCTCTGCATTTGACCTGAAGAAAGGAATTCCTGCTTTAAAATGCTCATCAATCAGTGCTGCGTAGTTAAGCTGATAACAAAGCTAAGGCTAAGCCAGTGTTAATTTAGCCAACTGTTACATTACTGACAATATTTGTCAGCAAATGATTTTAATTAGACCAGCATAATGAGATAAGTAGGCTAAAACTAAGCAAATTACTAAAACTAAAGAGGGATTCTGATGACAAACAAGTCCTGATGAGAGTAAGAATGATTTTTTTTTTTTTTTTTTGTTTTTGTCACCAGTGTCTGAGTAGCATGCGGGAATGGAGAGACAGCACTAATCACATGAGAAATCACTTAAAAATGATGCTGGTGTGCTGGAATGCTGAGGTGGTGTCAGGAAGGCTTGCAGAGTTTGAGCAAGTGCTGTGTAAACTTCCTGAGCAGCCTTGCACTTCGGTGACACTCTCCCCCCGCAGGGCTCTCTGTGTGCCTGCCTGATGTGCCTCCCATGAGCAGGACAGGGGAGGCTTGTGGAGGCACTTGTGCTGCCAGATAATGCACTGGAAGGCATGTGGAATAGGACTTTCTGAAATTTGTGGCTGTAATTAAGAACAGGTAGGGGAAAAAAAAAATGGGAAGAGTAGGCAGGGAAAAATGCAGGATTTGTTTTGAGAAAGAAGTAAGAATGGAGAGTCAAAAAAAAAGGAAAAAGCATTGTTTGGTGTTTGAACAAGGAAATATTTGGAGTGAATAACCTGCTGCTCTATTTATTTCTTTCTCTTCCTACATAGTTTTTTGTTCTGATTTCTGGTGGAGAATTCTGGTCCCTGTGTTATTTCCCCCTGCCTACTCATGGTCTCCCTGAGACCTGCTGGCAGAGGGAGGTTTTCACAGTCTGAAGTGTTGATTCTGAGAAGTGTGAAGGAAACAGAACCGTGCTGGATGATGTGACTCACCTCGGAGAAGTTGATGTTTTCTGGCTGAGGGAAAGTGTAAAGTTTCAGCTTTGCTAGTCCAGATGTTTTAATGGATATTGCTGCAGAAAGAGAAGGCCTTGTCTGCCTGTTTGACTCAGTCCTGAATAGGAGAATAACAAGTTACATACTAACATAAATGTTTAATGATTTATGATAAAAATATAAATTAGATGGTGAGCAAAATACTAGGTTAATTGACTATGGAGTCCTAAGTTCCCCAAAATGTAGCATTCCAACCAAATATGGCTGAAATATCAGCTGTCATATGATGAATATTTTAAAGAAGATTCTATTATACACCTAGGGGTTCATTCGTTTCAGTAATGAGGACAGTTACCTCTAGGGAAAGGAAGCTATATTATTCTTGCCACTTAACCAGGGGCTGGTTTGACAGGCATCAGCTCAGAATATATGTGTATATATAGGGAATCACAGCAGCTTGTCTCAAGCTTACTGAGCAGGAAATGTTGTGCTGTACAATACTTTGGGTTTCTATCTATGGATTTGTGGATGGCACTCCTGTGGAGTAGGATTCAGACTATTTTTATTCCTGAGACTGATTGTTGAGGTGGAATCCATCACCTACTAAATATTAAATCAGCAGGATTTTTAAAGAGTAACACTGTCTCTGCTGACTTGAATATCCTTATGTGGCCCAGAGGAAAAGAGAAACAAAGACAAGATGAGAAAACTATCATCTTTGGCATTCTTCTTAATATTAATGATTTCTCTAGTTTTCAAACTGTTGAAGGCAAAAAGTGAGATAGTAGAACTTTCACATGGGTAAGAAATGACCCAGGTGAAAAAAATCCCATACATTATAAAAACTACAGTGAAACTTCTGGAGTTGAATTATTTGTTGGAAGAGATGGGGGAAATGCCTCAACAGATTATTTTTTAAACAAGTTTTGTTAAATTGTTTCCAAACGAACATGGATGGGAATTTCTAGGAATGTGTCAATTCCAAATTACTTGAACAATTTAATGTAGATGCAATTTATGTCAGATTTTACTTTGTGTGGTTTCTGAAAACTGGTGCGTGCAAATGCTGAAACTTTGAACTAACTACCCAACTTATGTGCTGTTGTTCATCTTAGCAGACTGACTGAAATAGTAAATAGTTCCTTCATGTTTTTCTTTTTAAAGCTGCACTTCATAGACAATATCCAAAGACACCTGTGAGGTGTCTGAATGAGTAGTTCTAGTATACCCATGGCTGCCTATATGAACATTAATCATGCACCATTGCACAAATAAAAGCCCATCTCTGTCACTCTTAAAGGATTCTTTAAGACTTTTAAGGATTCTTTAGGATTTTAAAAATTCCTTTTCTGATAATGAGCAGGTAGGTGAAATAACAAAACCACAACAAATGATGGCATGCTTTTTTTGGTTTTACATTTTGTAAAACAGTCACATTTCAGTTCCAGATATCAAAATGAACAATTGCTACACCAATCTTCTAAACTCAGTGAAGATTCTTAAAAAGTTTCTGCTTGGTGACTGCTCACTTAATGGAAGCTCACCTCTTATGTCAGTTTTCTAAGGCCTCAAATGACATATCAAAATGTCCTGGATGCCCATTTTAACAGCACATCCTGTGTGATCCTATGGTAGGAGAATTCCAGTCCTTTGCTTAATTTAAAGTAATTCTCCTTGTTTAGCCAGATGAATTATCTAGGTTTCAGGATACAAAGGATTTATTCTGATGCTGTTTGTTAGATAAACTGACCCTTCAATGCAAAAACAGGACAAAATGAAAGTACTCATTAAGTTGATGCCTTTGCATATTTCACATGTATATTTTAAGATCATGTTACATATTCATCAGTTTTAGTCACAGAGTTGTTGCCATGAATGCTCTGTGCGTATCTGAGCTGCTTTTTAGGAGTGGGGGAATTAAGTAAAAAAGGAAAAATGTGATATGAAAATCAGGAGGGAATAAGTGAGATGAGGAGTTAGGAGGGACTCAGCTATATTGTTCCCATTCTATATATGTGAATCTTTAGAGGTTGTACGGTTTCCTTTCCTAGTATAACTTGATGTTCACTGGGAGTTTAGGTCAAATTTTGATGTTATTTAAAACCCAACAGGTATTATTTTCATCTTGAGATAGAAGTTGAATATTCTTTAATTGTCCAGGGCCTACAAACTTTGTCATCCTATCAGTGCATTAATTGTCTGCGTTGACTTTAATTGTGTAAGACCACAACATAAAGACTTGATCAAGACCTGGAAAGTTTGGGAAAAATGGGTTTGTTGGGTTTTCTTTTTGCTTTCAATAGTATATGGGTTGTATTTTTTTCAGATTGTGAACCAAAATAGATTAATATTGATTAGTACAACATGATGTAGCTCAGAAATTTTTCCACAGTAATAACAGTGAATTGTGAGAAAAAGTTTGGAGTGATAGTCAGATACCTGCACAATGGAAATAATTTCATCCCAGAAAGCTGTAAAAAATTTTCATAGTGGTGCTTCATTGTAAACAAAGTCTAAATCAACTGGAGCTGGAAGTTTGTGCTAACACTCAAAATCCTGGCCCAAAAATCTCTCCCTTAAATTTCCCCCTGCCCCTCCTAATTCCTATTCTTTCAGATTTGTTAGGCTTTGTCATGTCTTAGAATTGGTTTGCTGTAAAGAGGTAAGGGAATCAATTTCCTTGGCATAGAGCAATCAGACACAAGTTCTACAACTTCCACGAGGCCTGGAGGTCTTGTGCTCTTTCCAGGGGTTCAGAAATGTCCCAGCTGCCTGCAGGGGCCGAGGCAGAAACGTGGAGCTCATCCCGAGGGGCCGGTCCCGGCCCCGCTGTTGCTCGCGCCATTCCAGCAGCTCCTGTGTGTGCACTTTGTGTGGGCAGACCTCGGCCACCCCACTTGCAGTGAGTGCTTTGGATTTATGGCGCAGTGGGTAAGAATGGGCGACCTTTAATCATCCAGTCTCCAGGAGATTGTGCGGCCAAAGCAAGCCCATGGCTAGAACATGCTGCTGCAAGTCATGATGCAGATTTCTTCAAACCATGGGGGATTCAGGGAAGTGAGCTGTTGATGTGACAGTCTGCTCTTTAGTAAGCTGTGGAGGTCGAAAGAAAAGTGCATAAACTCATATGTTTTTGCATAAACTCATATGTTTTTTTCCACCCCAAAGGCCTCAGCCTAAACCTGGCACTGTCAGGGCCTTGTTTAGGAATGAGATGACTGACATGTTCTCTGCCTGACATTTGTAGAAGGCTAATTTAATTGCCATGTGTACCTACCCCCCGTTTTGCTCTTAACTCTCTGCTCATTTTTCTTTCCAAATCACTATTATAACCAGTGATTTTAGCCAGAAGCAGCTAAAATGACAGAAATCTGTTAAAGAGGTTCATGGTCGGAAGTAGAGCATTTCATGCTGAGTGTTGCCTGCCAGCGTTTTACTTGGATTTTAAGTGAGGGGGAAGGAAAGTAAGAGTTCACTTCTTCATTTTTTAATTAATGCAGACACCATTTTCATTCTGAAGTGTCACACGCTGGAAATCAAAGGAGCCTTGTATAAATAATAAGAAAAAAAAGGTTCTCCCAATTAGTAATGGAAAACATTTTCAAACAAGATCTACAGAATTACGATAGGGCTGGCAGTTCCTCAAGGTGAAAGTCTCTCAAAATCATAACATAAATTATTGATTTGTCCAA